CACCCTCCCCCAGGGGGATGAACAACAGAAACGTGGGTGAAGGAGACAGTGGACTGTGAAATATGAAAATAAAAATAATTTATAAATTATCAAGGGTTCACTAGGGAGGGAGGGACAAGAGAGGAGCTGATACCAAGGGTTGAAGTAGAAAGAAAATGTTTTGAAAAAGATTATGGCAACATATGCACAAATGTGTTTCATATGATTGATGTATGGATTGTGATAAGAGCAGTAAGAGCCCCCAATAAAATGACTTATTTTTTAAAAAGAGGTTTTTGTGTTTAAAGGTGAAATAACTGATTTTGCTCACAGATTTGAAAAAAAGAAAGAAAGAACCTTTTTATTTTGAATTGGGTGGTAGAGGTTAACAGAGCAAATCCATTTATCACTCAACAGTTCGTACACATTTTGCTTCATCTCATTGACTGCAATCTCTTCAATGTAAAATGACTTATCCTACTTTCTCCCTGTGTTTCCTTTTGCATTTCCCCTGCTTCCCTAACACTTATGAATGCTGTCCTTTGGTGATTGCTGCCTTCTGATCCCAAATGGTTGATTATTCTAAGATGTGCAGACCTCAGGAGTATCATTGTTCTCCTTATAGAACTTTCTGTTTTGCTAAAAAATGCACTATGGGGGTCAGTTCAGTTCCAGACCTGAAGGGTAACTAAGGGCTGTAATCTTGGGGGTTCTACCAATAAGCCTGGTCTTTTTTCATAATTTTGAGTTTGTTCCATATTTTTCTCCCACTCTAACCAGTAATCCCTTTCAGGGTAATTTGTAGGGGTAACCGGGCACCATCTAATTCTTCTGGTTTCACGGTCATGGAGGCTGATGTTCACATGATCCATTCATGGATATATTTGTAGCAAAGATAAATATACATGTACACATACATATATTTGTGGTTTTCCGACTCTCCCTCCCATATTCATTCAGCCTGTGCATCTACTCCTAGACCATTGTTATTGCAGAAATATATATAAGCAATATTTTACCTTTGTTGCCTTATCTCTTATACTCCTCCCAGTTTACCCCTACAGTTTTCCCTGCATCCATCAGTTTTTACTTCACTCAAGTTGATACTTGTCTACCCTCAGGGATGGGGAACCTTTTATCTCCCAAGGGCCATTTAGATATTTATAACAGAATCAACTTACCCCTAACATGATGGCTAGAACTGCTTCTCTTTTGTGAGGCATGTGATGGTAGCTGGTGTTGATGACTTCTTGGGGAAGGCCAGCCCACTGGACCTTCACAACCCCTGCACTAGCCAGTAATTTACCCTTCCTGCCCACGCCACCTCTGTTAACCATCAAAGTATATTGCTTTTCATGTGAAAAACTTCCTTTCTTTTTTTAAGATATGAATTAATGTGCAAATTATTTTTTTTAACTTTTAATTTTGAATTAGGTGGATTTGCTTGTTTCAGATCATTATTTTTGTATTCAACAATTCAATAATTTTGTATTCAACTTATCAAATCTCCCATTAGTATGCCTTGGACCCCCTCCTTTTTGTCTTTTTGCTTTCTTGTAGTGCAGTATCTTCCCCTTCACCCAAGTGAACACCTGTCTACCCTCTAGCCTATTGTTTCCCTTTCCCACCCTTCCCCTCCACCCCTGGTAACCACCACCGTCTGCTTCTTTTGGTATAAAAAACATTTTCTTGTTGTTTTCTTTTAGAACTGTGTCTCCTACAGTATTCATCCTTTAGTGATTGACTTACTGTACTCAGCATAATGTCCTCCAAATCTGTCTATGTCATGAGGTGTGAAAACCTTTTTTGACTAGTGGTCTCATATAATATATGTCCTTTTGTGATTGACTTGTCATTAACATAACACTTCTTTTAAAAATAGTGTTGTAGAATTCAAATTGGGGGAGTCAAGACTGTCATATAAATCTAATTAAACAGTCCTGTATTTAGTAGATGCTTATATTTGAAGTTATAGTGCCTTTGTTTTGGCAATTTTATCATGTTATATGTATATAGTATGTTCATGCATTCATATTCTTGATTCCTATTTTCAATCAAAATATCCAAACACACTGCCATCAAGTTGCTTCCAACTAATAGTGACCTTATAGGACAGGGTCTGACTGCCCATGTGGTTTTCTGAGACTGTAATTCTTGATGGGAGTACAAAGCCTAATTTTTCTCCTGAGGAGCAGCTGGTGGTTTTGAATTGCAGACCCTGTGGTTAGTAGTTCAACATGTAGCCCACTACACTACCAGGGCTCCTGATAGTTGTGTTTTTTTAATTGTCCTTTGCTCATTCATCTAACTTTCTTTTGAAAGTTTTCATTCTCTTGCTTTCAAACTGAGAACATTCTCCATTTCCTGGATAATATCAATCATACTACTGTCAAGACATTATTTGCATATGTTTAGCTTCAACTTTTCTTTCTTTATGTTTGACCTCTTAGCCACAAGACCAATTTCTCAGTTACAACTTCACATTTACGAGTCCTGGTGTTAGGCTGCTAACTGCAAGGTCAGCAGTTCAACACCACCAGCTACTCCTCAAAAGAAAGATGAGGCTTTCTACTTTCATAAACAGTTACAGCTTTGGAAACCCGCAAGGGCAGTTCTATCCTGCCCTATAGGGTGGCTGTGAGTCAGAATCAACTCAATGGCAGTGAGACTTCACATTTAGTATGATAGAATCATTTTCCTTTTATCCATAAACTCTCCAGTATTTCCCTTATTATTTTTTGAAGTTTAATCATTTCTAATGCCCCTAAATTTCCTTCCCATCCTCTTTTCTTCAAGACCTTGATTTCCACAGTAGTTAACTAGATGTGGAACCTCCTTGTAGTAAGCAATTTGGCCTTTGACCGTGGCTCATCAGTCATACAACACTTTTGGCCAATGAGTGAGGGTGGATCAGACCAAGAGATAGCTTCCAAGGGCTTGATGCTGACTCATGCATACCTCCAGAGGCTTGATGTAATCTCTCTTGGCCACATGAGGAGGGCAATTAAGATTTGATAGATGGAGGCTCAGTAGAGCTTCCTGGGTAGGGAGCAGATATCTTGGGAGGGTAAGTATGTTCCCTTGTGACTTGAAAGCTCTGAGCCAAGATCCGTCTCAAACTTTGCCTTCTGTGTTTGTATACTTTTTTACGCTAATTTAAAGATAGCCCACCCCCCAGAATTTGTGAGTCATTATAATAAATTATTAAATTTAAGAAATATAGAAGGATCTAGGAACCTTGGCGGTGTAGTGGTTAAGCATTAGGCTGCGATCTGCAAGATCAGCAGTTCAAAACCACCAGCCGCTCTGAGGGAGAAAGACAGGGCTTTCTACTCCCATACAGAGTTAAAGTGTCAGAAACCACAGGAACAATTCTACCCTGCCCTATGGGGTCACTATGAGTCAGCATCGACTTCATGGCAGTGAGTGAGAGAATGAGCTAGTACCTGCTGGCCTAGCCCTGGTTAAAAGAGAATGAGAGAGATGTCTAGAACAAGTGGAGTCTTGACAGATCAGAGAAGGAAAACTGAGAATTCAGGAGGACACAGTGGACCTGTAGAGTGGGATTTATTATTCACTGCAGAATTAACATCACAGGTGGATGATCGCATCCTCTCTGGACTGGTTTGCACAGTGCTACCGTGAGCAGAGAGAACTGTGACTGTGCAGCTGGGTTATATCATTTCTATTTCTTAAAAAGAATCTTTAATTCATACCCTAAGCTTGTTTTTCATATCAGGTAGCTTTTTTCCTGTATAATCTGCACACGTCATTGCCAAGAGTCTGTCTTTATACTTTAAAAACCATACCATTGAAACCCTCTGTCCGATCACAAATTGATAGTATGCTGCATTTGTGTCCCCTCCTTTTACTTTTCATCTCTTTCTACATCTATTCTTCCACTTTGATCTATGAACTTACCTACCTTTATCTCTCTCTTTGTTTGATATCCCCCCTCTTCTGGTCATGGGTTGGGCTGTGATCTGCATGGTTGGCAGTTTGAAACCAAGGCTTTTCAGGAGAAAGATGAAGCTTTCTACTACCGGACACAGTTGCAGTTTCAGAAACTCAAAGAAGCAGTTCTACCCTGTCTTATACTCTCGCTATGAATTTGCATCAACTCAATAGCAGTGAGAAACTATACTTACAATTTGAGGAACCCTGGTGGCATAATGGCTTACATGTTGGGCTGCTAACTGCTAGGTCAGCAATTCAAGCCCATCAGCCACTCCAAGGGGGAAAGATGAGCCTGTCTCCTCCTGTAAAGATTTATACCATAGGGGGCAAGCCCTATAGGGTCACTTTGAGTGAATTTGTTTATGCTTGCGGTTCTTTTTTGACCCAAACCAATTCTTTGTCTTTTAAGAGATTGAGTCTCTTTTCAAGAATATTGGTGGTTTATTGATATAATTCCCACCACACGTGTGAGATCTGGGTTTGATTCCCATCGTGCACCTTGGATTACTATGATGTTCAACATGTTTCAGCAGAGCTCCCAGACGAAGTCAGTCTAGGAAGAAAGGATTGATGATCTACTTCCAAAAAATCAGGCACTGAAAACTCTAAGGATCATCCTAGTGCAACCTGCAGCCAATCATGGGGGTGATGCAAGACGAGGCAGTATTTCCTTCCATTAGTTGGCGGACAGATCAATGGCTACTAACAACAATAACATGCTTGCAATAATATCCTACTTTACACATTCCAAGCTACTTATATTCTGTGTACTAGAGTCTACAGTTTTATTTGCTATACCTATAACCTTATGAAACAGGCATATGAGTGCTGCAATTATGTTATAAAATTAGAAAAATTGAAATTGCCTCACTCCTATTAAAAGATGGCATTCTCAATAAGTATTCATGTAAATATACTTCATTCGGATTTTTTTCTTTAGAAAAAATGTAAAGACTCTTTAAATTAAAAAATAACTTGAAATTAATTTATTGGTTTGTCCTCACATGAAGTGATAATGATTTCACTTATCCCTAGTAAAATTATTATTTCAACTATCCTAACAGGACTTCTGGTTGGCACGCTTGATTCAGTCTTAGACTCCACTGCTAAAGTAGCTCCATTTCGCATTCTACACCAGACACCAGATTCTCAAGTTTACTGGTCAATTGCATGTGGTAAGTACAATTTTTCAAACACATAAATCAATTTTAAGTAGAGAGTTTAAGAAACTGAATAGTTAAATTTATTTAATTTAACTTGTGGTTTTGAGATTTCAAAACAAGTTATATGTGCAACTCGACTTTCCAAGAATAGCAAGACATCTACTTGCATATTTAAGGAGGATTACAGATTCTTAGAGTTTAAAACAATCCATTGTTTTTAAATCACTGGGGAACCTAAACTATGTGTTTCAGCGATGTTGATTCAGAGCAGATTTTGGTCAATGCTATTGCTTTATGACTCTTTTCTTCCCCGTCTCTTCCTTCCCCAAAGTGCTGGGGGGAATGGGAGCGTTCCCATGAATGCTATTGTTTTATCCCTAATAGATAATTAAGATGAGGAGAATCTGAAGGTAACTGTGAGCCCAAAATTGAAGAGTTGTTCCTTAAGGACATAGAACCCTGAAAAATTCACCTTTTCTGATCACATTCTTACTTTCTCACAAAAGGGATGATAGCCTTGAAATATGAAGAACTGTGTTGCAGGTAGTATTTCTTATTCATTTCTGCTGGGCTGGTTAATATACTTCTACCTTATATTGAATATAGGTAAGGAATTAAGATGCTTCTTTATATAGCACTTTTTAGAATTCCAATGACAGCTTGTTCCTTTATGATGTCATTACAGTGTGGGTCTAATTAAAGAGCCACAATTCTATACTTTTTGATATAGATGAGTGGTCCTTTTCATTATTTTTCTCTCCTCTGCCTCTCTTCAGATAAAAATATATTTTAAACGCACATGCATTTCTAGGTGGTTTGTATGTATGAACATACCATGTACAATTATTCTTTTTTAATATTTGGCTTGTTGTTGTTTTAATTTGACCTCCACACTTCTTTTCATGTTGCTGGTGAGTCTTTTCTCCTGGCTCTCCTAATTTAAACACCATTACCAAATGAAGATATGACATCTGTTAATATCACTAGAATCGTATACCTCAGCTCTAAATCTGGTTGATAGAAATTATTTAGAGAAAACCATTCCTTCTATTTTTGTTGAAATTAAAGGATGTTATAGAACATATTTCCCCCAAATAAACCTGATACAGAAATACACTAAGTACTTATTGATAAAGCTTTCTCATACCTAACGGGCAAAAATGAAGGCCTTAAAGTTCCCATCACTTTTTATTATGGACCATTAAACAATGTTATTACCCTCGGCATGGTGACTTTAATAAGGTAAAGCAATTTTAATTGAATTATGGGAAATAGTTTTTCGGTGTCAATAACTTATCCCAATATGTCAGTCTCCTTACGTACTAGGAAGTCAAAATATTTTGAATGAGATGTTTGTAATTTACAATGCTGGAAATGGATAGATTTGTGTTCGTATTCAAACCAGAGCAACCCAGAGCTAAATGTAATATTTAATCTGACCCATAGTAATCTACCTAACACTGGTTCACTGGTTCAGTACATCACATCGATTCAACTTTGCTGCAAAATTTCTAAAACCCCCTTTAATAAGATATGTGTAACTCACCAAGGTCTATTAATAATGAAGTGTTATGGATTGAACTGTACTCCCTCACCAAAAAATAAAAAATAAATTGTGAATCCTAACCTCTATGACAGTGGTTATAATCCCATTTTTTTGAATTGTAAATGTGAGATTTATTGTGCTAGCACGTTTTAATGTACATATTGTTACCACAATAAAAGAGGTTACATCAAGTAATAAGACATATACATAAAAATATAAATAATGAACAGTACATTTAAGTACACTTTAATACATCATTATTATATATTGTCTAAACATTTAAGACTGGCAACCTTTAGTTTATAGCAGTTTCTGATTTGAGTTTGTAATAACCTTATGTGTTAGTCTGGGTAGACTAGAGAAACAAATTCATAGACACTCAAATGTATATAAGAAAGAGGTTTACATACAAGAGTAATTAAATATTGAGAAAATATCCCAGCTCAGTCCAGATCAAGTCCGTAAGTTCAATATTAGCTCATATGTCCGATACCAATCTATAAAGTACTCTTTAGACTCACGAAATACATGGAAAGATGCAGAATGCAGGAGGATCACTGGCCAGTGGGTTGGAAGTCTTGTGGATCCAGTGGCGTTGTAAACATCTCAGCACTGACAGGGGTCTCTATGTGGCTTTTCTGGCTCCAGAGGTCTGGTTGCATCAGGGTCGGTCCATGTGACTTCACCAGCTCCCAGGGCGTAGCGCCACGTGTCTTGTCAGTAGAGTGTCCCTCAGGGAGTAAGTAGAGAGAAAGAAGTGTTTCCTGCCTCCAAGGAGGAAAAACAGGAGTTCCCAGAATTCTTTTAATGTATTCTGTTTGGAAGCAGAGATAGGGGGTGAGAGGTACCAAACCACTCACATAAAGATCACTCAGGAGCTGAAGTTCAAAGGGACAAGGACCATCCTCCAGAGCCTGCAGATAAAGAAAGCTGGCACTCTGAATTCAGACTTCCAGTCTTCTAAACTGCGAGAAACTACATGTCTCTGAAGAAGGCCACTCTTTTGTGACATTTCTGTGATAGCAGCACTAGGTAACGGAGAGCATGGGGTCACTCTGAGCAGAGGCTTCACACTTTCTGAAATAGAATGGTCACAGTTGAAATCCACATTTGCATAGTATGCATAGGGTTGTCATGCACATGCTGTTCTCGTTAACAGAGCATTTGAAGGCCAAGGATTGAATCATGCATGTGTATTTCTTGGTATATATACTAGATAATCTCTTAAAAGTTCCTGGTTATTGTAGCTACCAGTTTAGTGGCATCTCATTTTCAGAATTTTTTATCTATTTTCCTGAAACATTTTCTTTTCTCCTTTTTCATTAAATATTTCATTCTTTCTTTTTATAATTTAAAATACTGTTGATACATGCATATAGAAGTAAAGTAAATGAATAAATGTAATACCTTTGTTCATTTATGGCCATCATTTTTGAAAGTGAACAGATATTTTGTTTCTTGTAAATGTTAAGAGCAGTTTTCTTGTGGAGTATACCTTGAGCCTCTAATTCGCCTACATTATTCATCAGGAGCCAACAGAGAAGAAATAACCAAGCATTGGGATTGGTTGGAACAAAATATCATGAAGACCTTATCTGTATTTGATTCAAATGAAGATATTACTAATTTTGTACAAGGAAAGATCAGAGTAAGTGTCATGGATATATTTTGTAAATGGAATACTAAAATATTTGACCCTATTATAGGAAGGTCCAAAAGTTGAATGTAAGAACATTATTTATTGGTACTTTTCAGGACTGGCCAAAGTACACATAGAAATGTCACAACTAGTGCTAATGCAAATTGTCAGTTGGTGGCTTATCTTTGGTGCCCTTGTGAATGTTCTTAGGAGTATTATAATCTCAGTAAACCTTGAATTTGCAGTGTGAATGAACTTAACCCCTAGTTCATTCAAAATAATATATTTAGTGCTATAATTTTGGCAACTCCTTGTGAAGTATTAGAAAAAGCTTAATTATAAAACTGACGAAAATCCTCTGGTCTCTATCCTAAGAGTATTATATGCATCCATATGATAATATGTGTGTGTATCCTTATAGAAATATACACTTGTACCTAATGAACTATTTTAAATTAACTATGTGAAATATATTTTTATTGGTAAGTGGTAATGAGTTTTCAGCAAATGTGTTGTCTCTTATAGGGATTAATTGCTGAAGAGGGAAAGCAGTCTTTTGCAAAAGAAGATGATCCTGAGAAATTTCGAGAAGCCCTTTTGAAATTTGAAAAATGCTTTGGTTTACCAGAGCAGGAGAAATTAGTGACCTATTACTCATGCAGCTATTGGAAAGGACGGGTTCCTTGTCAGGGCTGGCTTTATCTTAGCACCAACTTTCTGAGCTTCTATTCTTTTTTGTTGGGATCAGAAAGTAAGTGGTTCCTATTGTTTACCATGACGTTAGATTTGTTGACTGACCTGTCAATTCTATGGTGGTGTTAAGTTTACATAAAGTAATGGTATTGGATTTAAGAGTAATTGAATTGTACATTTAAAAGTTCACTTCAGAGAATTCTTCTAAGACTGCTTGCTTAGCATAGGAAGCATTAGAGAGAGTGCCTTGAGTATTACAGGAAGTGAATGACTTTTAAAGGATGATAGTTGCTGCTCTCTGCCCCTTGTTCCCAACTACCTACATGTTTCTGTCCTTATTTTAAACATAGAGTCTAAACATAATAATCATAGTACTATTGTGGTCCACATATAATTTTATAACCAAAATGAAGAACCAAGTAATATGATTCATAGTGCACATGCAGCTTTTAGTCAGTGGTTATTCAAAAGGTAATTTTTTCCCCTGCAATCACATAAAGAAACAGATTTAAATATCAAATTAGAATAGTTTAAAATTTTTCTTTTTAATCATTTCTTGAAATTACCCATTACTATATGTTCATGGCGGTGCGTCAAATTTTTGACAAAATTTTATTTCCAAGGTATTTCAGCCATTTGTAGTTTTTTTTTCCCTTCAGATAGTTAACGTTGGTCCCGAAAGACCTGATTAATAAGCATGTATAAATACTGAGAAACTTAATCATACCTTCTTATAACTCTTATTTGCAGTAAAACTTGTTATATCCTGGGATGCTGTCTCAAAACTTGAAAAAACTTCCACTGTCATACTGACAGAGAGTATTCATGTATGTTCACAAAGGGAGGATCACTACTTTTCAATGTTTTTACACATTAACCAAACATACCTTCTGATGGAACAGTTGGCAAACTACGCTATAAAGAGACTTTTTGATAAGGAAACATTTGATAATGACCCAATTCTTGATGATCCTCAGCAAATCACAAAAAGGTATCAAAGCTTAATTAATACTTTTTATAGCGATCATAAGACTGATGGTCTTGATTATCATTACAAGTTAACTGTTCTTTGTCATAGTTTCTCTTTGGAGCCAATCATCAATCTGTGTTTCACTGTGTGTGCTTATTCATAATGTATTTCATAAATAATTTGCTTTCCATGAAATTTAATCCTAAGAAATAGTAGAGGTTAGGTTGGAAAATTATTTCTGGAGATTCAGATAGTATTTGTGCTTAGAAATATAAGGTGTGTGTGTGTGTGTGTGTGTGTTTGATATATCTAAATGTCTCTCAGTTTCAGGTCTGAAATTGTTAAAGAAAATTTGTTCTTTTAAAAAATAATTCACCTATTGTGCATTTTTTTATGAATAGACAAGTTAATGGAATGAGTGGAACATGGGCTTTCGAATGAGTAGAGCAACCCCTAGACAGCTATGATATCTCAGTTTCTCATATGACATATCTGCCTCATAGAACAGTTGTGAGCAATGAGTAATAGAATATGTGTGAAAGTTCTTGTACAATATGAAGCAGTGAATAAGTGTTTAATCATCACTAGGTCCTGCATTGGAAATATCATCTGATAGCAGTCTGTCACTGTATTTAGTTTGTGGAAATGAACCAGAGCCCTTTCAGCTTATCATCCTTCAGAACAGTTGACTGAAATAAGCATGCCAAAGAGGAGGGAAGCAGAAGAGATTCCCAAAATAGCTAGGAAAATCAGCTTTTGTCAAAGAGAATAACAATGTAGATGGTATGAGAAAGTATAAGAGGAACTGCAGCTACAGGCAAATAGTCAGGCAAATAGACCCGAAACAAGTGATCTGGAGGGTTGTGTGATTATTACATACCCCTAATTGGGTACAGTTGTTCCTCTTGCCTGTTCTGAAACCATTCCTAAAATCTATATATGTATTTCTTTGTGAGTCAGCCTGTTTTTCTGGAAATTAGATCAGCAAGGTGAATTTTTTACACTTCATTACCAAAATTATGTTCCAGTGTGCCTGATTTATAAATAGAATTCTGTAAGGATTCAGAATCCTGTTTTTACACAGCTCAGAAGGCATAGAAGAATAACACATGGAAGCGGGGAACCCAGAGAGTAAGGGGCAAGAGTGTTGTTACTTTGAGGGGATTGCAAATAATGTTACAAATCAAAATGTGTATAAATTATTGAACAGAAAACTAATATGCTCTACGAACTTTCACTGAAATCACAATTTTTTACAAAGTCATAAATATGTCTCTAATACAGAATTTCAGAATACTAGCCTCCACAACATGACAGAGGTTAGGAGTGGGAAGAATTGGGGCCGGTGGATGAAGGTTAGAAATGTTGCCCAATGAGAATGTTCCTCAACTAAAAGCTAAAAGGCTAGGATTTTTATTCTTGGTTCTGTTAAATGAACTTGTGATAAATCTCATCCTTATTCTGTGGTTTAATTTTCCAACTGCCAAGAGGATATTTAAAATTACGTATTGTCACCCCCATTCTCCAACATCCCTCAAACACACTGGATTCATTTCACCAAATTTTTCTTTTTTCATTCATGCCACATTTCTTCATTCACAAGTAGAGCGCGTACTAAGTACCAAGTGTTATTCTAGGTGTTGGGATCACAAATGTTAGTCAGACAGACATCAGTCCACCCCATGATGAAGGTTATATTCCAGTGAAGAGTGGTTCAGATACACAATACTTTGGGATGAACGTTTTGTCTGTACCACTATTTTAACAATATTTTGCCAAAGTGGGGAAAAAATCCTGCTTTCAGTGTATTCTAGTTGGGCAGTTGTTTGTTTCTCGATTGGCCACCATAAGCATACTATTAGAGTTTTTCTCAGCTATTATATATAGTTCCACTTTGAAAAATCCTCTAAAAAGCCATTTATCAATTAATTATTCACCATTAAGTCTGTATTTAAATTAAGTATAATAAATCCTTAGGAATCCTGGTGACGTCGTGGGTTACTCACAGCAAGGACAGCAGTTCGAGCACATCAGCTGTTCCGCAGGAGAAAGATGAGGCTTTCTAATCCCATAAAAGTTAGAGTTGGGGAAACCCACCAGGGCAGTTCTTCTCTGTCCTACAGAGTCGCTGAGTCGGAATGGACTCGATGGCAGTGAGTTTGCGAGTGTTTTAAAACCGTAAACTCATCATTCTCTCTGTATTTTTAAGCAAAACTATTGAAAATGATTTATAAAAATCTTAAGTTTTTTAAAAAATTGTAGATTATTTTTTCTAGTATTACAAAGAATAATGACTTACTGAGACTTGGTCTCCAAATGGCTTTTTTTTCTAAAGTGGAATATCTTTATAGCTGTTTCTATGAGAATATACTATTTATATAATCCAAACAGTGCCCAAAACAAAGTAGTGTTATTGAGTCAATTCCAATAGTGACCTATTGGATCAGAACTTGTGTAATCTACTTACCTCCTCAGATGGCATTGCTGCTCAGCACATGTGTATAGTACCCCTAAAAAACTGTACTGTCAAACGATTGCTTTTTTTTTTTCATTTTTACATTTATGTGCAAGTCAGCAAACATCACCTACATTTATTAACACGTATTTTGGATTTTTTTGAAGCTTTCATAAAGGCTTATTTCACTTCATTTTAATAGTTAGTCTCTTTGGGGGGACATTCTTCTATTCAAAACATGGAAGCCATATACTTTCATTATTTGATTTTGTTGGGATTGAGACATTTTCTTGATTTTCTGATAACCAGATATGAAAATTGTTGTCTACCAAGATAATAATATCACAAAAAGCCTCCCAGAGAATCACCCTGTAGCAGATGGTTTTAGTATCTGCGTTATCTCCAGCTAGTGTGCCTTTTAATATACTAACAGAATGTACCTGGAAAGAAGAACCAACAAAATGAGTTAGTTAGGAACTGGTGTGTTTCTTCCATTTTATAATTTGGTGGAGAGCATAACAATCAATGTTTAATCTATGTGGTGTGCAATAAATCTAGTTAAATCGGTATAGGCATGTGTACACTTTAGTATTGATCACTTGACCCCTCCCCCTGGCTCTTTTTTCTACAGAGGTCTGGAAAATCGAGCACACAGTGAGCAATTTAATGCTTATTTTAGGCTGCCCAAAGAGGAGACTTTGCAAGAAGTGCATGAATGTTTCTTATGGATACCATTTAGCCACTTCAATACTCATGGGAAAATGTGCATTTCCGAAAACTACATCTGCTTTGCTAGCCAGGATGGAACTCTATGTAGTGTAATCATTCCATTACGAGAGGTAATGTAAATTTGGTTCCATATCAGCTTTTGGTGTAAAAATGTTTCTGCTACACAGAGCAAAGTGACCTTTAATTCTGTCAGTTGCTAAAACTCAATGTGCATAAATTTTTTTTGCAATTTGCATGTAAAAATTTTTAAGTTCGATACTTTTAAGAGGACTAACTGCTGAGATGTTCATATGAAAATGAAAGTTGAACAATAATTAAGTGGGTTGAACAGCAAAATAAGTGGATAGGATGACAAAATGGAGTGTGATTCCTCAGGCATTTATGACATGAATACCAAAACTTAGATGGTCACATCTGATGGTCAAAAAGACTAGAATCAGTAACTTTCAGGGAGGTCAGAAAGAAATTGTGAATGTGGTCACTCTGTTTTTTCCCCAGCTGTACTTCAAAAAATTAGTGTAAAATATAAAAGCCCCGTCATTTTTTTCCATGAACATTTTGACAGAACACATGATTATGATTTGTGAAAGCTACATGTTCATGAAGCTTTCCATTGAGAAGTTACCTCTACCAGTGGTGTGTTATCCAAAGCCTGTTTCTTAATAAAACATACTCCAGGTTAAAACTTTTAGCCACAAAACACTAGGTCAAAGCACATGTTGTTTAAAGGAATCAGCAATAAGGGGACATTGTGGCTCATTGCTTTATATGTTTTTCACCCTCAGGTCTTAGCTATAGATAAGACAAATGAATCCAGCAAATCTGTCATTATTAGCATTAAAGGAAAAACTGCTTATCGATTCACTGAAGTTAATGACTTTGAGCAACTGGTAACAAAACTCAGACTCAAGTGTGGGGCAGCTTCAACTCCATGTCATGATATTGGAGCAGAGGTAATTCTTTTCTTCCTTCCTTTCTTTTTTGAAAAGCATGAACATCTATCTTCAATTGACATTTTGACAATTTGCACATAAGTAGCACAGGTAAACCAGTACGTAAACTTGAGATAGTTTATTCTAGCAAAATCAAAAGCCAATAACTTGGGTCAGTTTTAACTTTGAATAGAGTAGAAAAATGAGGCCACTGCTGATTGTGGCCTCACCATTCACATGCAAGAGGCCTAGAAGGAAAATCAGACCTTAACAAAGCAGAGCATCTCAAACCACTGCACATCGTTGTGAATATCATCAGAGAAGCAAACTCAAAAGTAAAAGATGAGAACAAATGGTGGTTACGAATAGAAAGTATCTATCTGGTGTCAATGTCAGGGGAGTGATGCTTTGGTTTCCCTGCGATTTTAAAACTACACCTGATATGGGTACAGATAAGAGGGGAAACACAGGGAATCCAAGACAGACAAATCCCTCAGGACCAATAATGAGAGTGGCAATACCAGGAGAGTAAAGGGAAGGTGGGAGGGGAAAGGGGGAACCTGATCACAATGATCTACATATAACCCCCTCCCAGGGATGGACAAGAGAAAAGTGGGTACGAGGAGACATAGGTCAGTGTAAGACATGAAAAAATATTAATTTATAAATTATCAAGGTCGTGAGGGAGGGTGGGAGGGAAACAAAATGAGCTGATACCAAGGGCTCAAGTAGAAAGAAAATGTTTCAAAAATGATGATGGCAATAAATGTGCTTGACATGATGGATGGATGGATTGTGATAAGAGCTGTATGAGCCCCCAATAAAATGATTTTTAAAAAAGAAACTAGAACTAAAAAATAAAACAAGTTTTCTAAAAAATAAAACAAAATGAAAAAAACAAAACAAACTGCACCCGTCACACCCTGATACATATAAATAAATCTGTCCATCTTGCTACTTAACCAATCAGTAAGGTTCTCAGGTTTCCCTGGATTCTCCTTAATTTGTCCTATTCTGCAGAGGTTGACATTGTCATGAACAAAATGCTGACTCTATAAAATGGATTGGGGAGAGAAGTATCACTGTTTAAGGGGGAGAGGAAGAGAGAAGCATGGTGGCGAACAGAGTCAATAATAGGATTTTTATTTCCCTGACTTTGGTTACACCACATAATCACAATGTGGCAGAACAAGAATAAAGCTGTCTTATTTAGCCCGAATGGTAAAAACAGTTGGCTCATCTCTTTCTCCCTGGTTGTTATGTAGTCCTCAACTTCGGTCAAGGGCCGAACATGGGTGTGCTTTTTTTGAGGTTATTGAGTATTAAACAAATTCTCAGAGAAAAAATTTTTGCAGGGGGGTGGAGTAGGGAGGGAACAGAAGTAATTATTTAGCTATTGAATTATTTAGGGACAAAAAGACTTGTTTAGTATGGTTCATTCTTTCGATAAGAATTCATAGGATCTTTTTAAAAAGCAAATTTATTGGCATATATTTCCCATATCCTATAATCCAATAGTTCAACCATATTAATAAGAGTTATACAATCATCTCTAAAATCAGTTTTAGAACATTAACTTCTTTCTTGTACTCATTGTCAGCAGTTCCTCATTTCCCCGCAACCTCTCCTGCCATACGCCCCTATGTACAAGAGAACAGAACACTGCCCCATCCTCACAATTGTTGTTATGCTTGCGCCTGTTGTTGCAGCCACTCTGTCCGTCCACCTCATTGAGAGTTTTCCTCTTTTTTGCTGCCCTTCTCCTCTATCAAGCGTGATATCCTTCTCCAGGAACTGATCTGTCCTGATAATATGTCTACAGTATGTAAGGCGAAGTCTCGCAACCTTACTTCTAAGGAGCAGTCTAGCCATACTTATTCCAAAACAGATTTGTTTGTCCTTTTGTCATTCCATGGTATTTTCAGTACTCAAATGCATCAATTCTTCTTTGGTCTTCCTTATTCAATGTCCAATTTTCACTTGGATATGAGGTGATTGAACATTTCATGGCTTGGGTCAGGCACACCTTAATCCTCAAAGTAACATCTTACTTTTCAACACTCTAAAGAGGTCTTATGTAGCGGATATACCCAGTGCAACACATTGTTTGATCTCTTGATAGCTGCTTCCGTGAGCATTGATTGTGGAGGCAAACGACAAAATCCATGACCATTACAATCTTTTCTATATTTGTCATAATAAATGACATCACTTACTCACTGCCATTGAGTCGATTCTGACTCATAGCAACCATATAGGACAGGGTTGGACTGCTCCTGTGGGTTTCCAAGACTGTAACTCTTTACAGGAATAGAAATCCTCTTTCTCCCCCAGAGAAGCTGGTGATTTAGAATTGCTGACTTCGTGGTTAGCAGCCCAACTAACTACTGTCACTAGGGCTCCTCCTTACTCATTAGGGAAATGCAAATCAAAACATCAATGAGATACCATTTCACTCCCCAAATAACTAGATTTGAGCTTAGTTTTTGGTTTGAGTGTGACTAGTGAAAAGGGCAGACAATAACAAATATTGATAAAAATGCTGAGATACTGCCGGTGGGAATGTAAAATAGTGTAGCCACTTTAAGAAACAGTTTAGTCATTTTTGAATCATTAAATATAGAGTTACCATATGACCCAGCTTTCCACTCCTAAATATCTTCTCAAGAGAACAAAAAAAACACATGCCCTCATAAATACTTGTACTTCGCTGCATTATGTATAATTGCCCCAAACAGTAACAACTCCAGTATCTTTCAATTGCTAGAATGGAAAGGGTGGGGAATGGGGAATGATTGCCAATTATTTATTTTGGAGGTGATAAGAAGATCCTTAGATTGTGGTGATCGTTGCACAAATCTGTAAATTGCTAAAATCATTGAATTGTACTCTTCAAATGCATGTATATTCTGGCTTATTTATAGATCAATAACTGAACCCACAAACAAACCGCTGCCATCCATGGGACAGGAGAAGTGCTCCGTAGGGTTTCAGAGACTGTAAATCTTTATAAGAGCAGATGGCCTCATCTTTCTCCCTCCAGGAGTCCTTATTGGATTTGAACCACTGATCTTGTGGTTAGTAACCCCACACCTAACCCACTATACCACCAGGGCTCCTATAGTTCAATAAAAATGTCACAAATAAATGTTTGTGGAAAACTCAACATTTTTAGCTTAAAGACTGGCATACATAAGGTCTATCTACAGTTAAGTTTTACTGAAGGTCCACAGGAAAACCGTGAAATCAATGATTTGGAACCTTAGTTCCCCTCCCCCAAATGGAATCTTGCCATAGATAGGGAAAATATATGCATTGCTACTGAGAATGAAAAATTACTCTTAATTAGTTAGTTCCTTTTGATCTTAAGAGTTTCAAATCGAGTGAGCAAGTTTAAGTGTTCCCTAGGTGCCAGACATTATGCTAGTTGCTTTCACATCCATTATATTGTTAATTCCATAATTACCCTGTGATAGAAATGTTATTCACACTTTACATACCAGAAAACCAAGACTCAAAGAAAGTAATTTACAGGAAGAGATAGGTAAAAAAATGACAATATATTGATTAGGTTTCAGCTTTCTCGGTGACAATCAAATAATAACCGTACCTCCTTAAATTGCCAAATCTATTTATCAGTACATTTGATAATCTCCTGGGTTACGTTTATGAAAACTAATATCATCTGTTCTGTGGAAATGATATTACTTTAACTCTCAATATAATCTTAATCAGATAGCACCTTACTTCCATCCTACATTCTAGTAATAGTTTTGACAATTGGCAGTATGGGATAAGAAGAAAAACCACTAGAATGAAAACTAAGAGACCAAATTCTAGACACAGCTATCATTAAGAATCTCTGAATATGGATAAATTGCTTAATCTCTATGGATCATTTACCTCATTTGTAAATTGCAAGGCTGAAGTAACATAATGCTTTTTGACTCTGTACTTTTCCAGATATTCTCTCTTGATATATCTTGATTCTCAACTGTGTCTCAAAACGCTTAGGTTTCCCAGTTCCAGAATTATTCTTGATCTTTAAGGCCAGTAGAAAAACTTGGTCTACCATTGTGATGTTTCATTTGTAAATACTTAATTTGTCATGGTTTATTTACTAGCCTTATTCTAGCTCCCAAATCTAGGTCTTCAGTTCAGGCCTCTGTCCTAAGGTTCCAGATATTTAACATCCCTGGTGGCACAGTGGATTAAGGATTGGGTTTCTAATTGCAAGGTTGGTGGTCTGATTTGTGGGGGGCGGGGGGGCAGGGGGAGGCAGTTCAACTCTGCCCCATAAGGTTATTATGAGTCAGAATCTACTCAACAGCAGTAAGTTTGTCTTTGGGTGGGGGAGTTGGCTATAAATATCTACTTATATGTCCCATATGTACTTTTAGCTTCAACATTCCTAAAAATGAAGTCATTCTTCCTCCTGTATTCTCTAAACTGATTAATGCTATCAACATCCAGGTAGATGGATATTACTATCTATATAGTCACGCAGATTTTGTTGTCATCTTAGAGTCCTCTCCTCATTCACTCTTAATAGTCACTATATTTATTGTTTGGTGCCATTGAGCCAGTTCTGACTCTAAAGAGACCCTATATACAAAAGAAAAAAATACTGTCTGGTTCTGTATCATCATAACAATCATTGCTATGTTTGAGCCCATTGTTGTAGCCACTGTGTTGATCCATCTTGTTGAGGGTCTCCTTCTTTTTCATTGACCAGGCATGATGACCTCCTTCTGGAACTGATCCTTCCTAATAACATTTCCAGAGTACATGAGACCAAGTATCACCATCTTTGCTTCCAAGAAACATTCTAATTGTACTTCTTCCAATGCAGATTTGTTCATTCTTCAGGTAGTCCATAGTATATTTAATATTCTTCACCAACACAATCAAACGCATAAAATTTTTTTTAAAGCTTTTCCATTTGTCCCCACCATCATTAGATGTGTCTAGACATACATCCTTAACAAGTTCTTAGCGGATCAATTTTGCCCCCATCCAAT